AATACCATGTTCCACTAAATGGAATTAGAGTTTTTAGGGGAAATGGGTGATCCCAGGACTGAGGCTAGGAAAGCACAAGAAAAGCCTAGGATGCAGTGCCAGAAAGTACGGGAAATGCTTTTAAAATGATGTGATGATGAAAGAACACAAAAGCTAGCTAAATCTAAAACAATTTGCACATCAAAATAAATAGTGATGGTAACAATGACATAATTCATAGAATAAAATAAAAATTGATGAGTTCATTCTAATATAAATCAACAAACTGATAAATAAATAAATGAGGTAGAAGCATAAAGCTCTCCCATATAGTAGGAAAACAAAAATATATAAGGAATGATGACAATGTTATTAGAAAATTACTATTTGGCAACCACGATAGTAATAATTGCTTCAAGCAAGAATTATCAATGCATGTTAGAACTTGTGGGGAGTCTCAAATAATCTCCCCACAATATATTTATCTATACTAATAAAAGGGTAATATGCTAATTAGATCAGACATCTTCTGGACATCCTTTCAGACAAAGCCACGGTGGCGGGGGCAGAGGCAGAGGTGGTTAGGGCGATTAGGCCATCAGGGAAAGCAGTTAGGGATGACCAGGTTGGCAGGGGAGGGCAGTTAGGGGCGACCAGACAGGCAGACAGAGAGGTTAAGGGGCAATCAGGCAAGCAGGAAGGCAGAGGCGGTTAGGAGTGATCAGGCAGGCAGGGTAGCAGTTAGGGGCATCAGGCAGGCAGGCAGAGTGGTTAGGGGCGATCAGACAGGCAGGTGAGTGGTTAGGAGCCAGCGGTCCCAGATTGGAGAGGGTGCAGGCTGGACTGACGGACCCCTGCTGTGCACTAATTTCATGCACCAGACCTCTAGTTAATTATAAAGAGCAAAATAGTTACTTTACACTGGATAAACCTGGCAAATACTGCCTTAGTTAATTAACAGAACAAAGTTGCTCTCACCAATGATGGGATATATTGGTATCACATGCTTCCTAATATGATGCATTGAGAAGGAGACAACATCAGTTTTGAAGTATTCCTGCTAAAAATGCATAACCTGAATCTAACCATGAAGAAACATCAGACAAACTCAAATTGAGGGATATTTTACAAAACAAATGCCCTATATTCTTTTTAAAATATATATATTTTTATTGATTTCAGAGAGGAAGGGAGAGGGAGAGAGAGATAGAAACCTCAATGATGAGAAAGAATCATTGATTGGCTGCCACCTGCATGCCCCACACTGGGGACAGAGCCTGCAACCCAGGCATGTGTCCTTGACAGGAATCAAACCTGGAACCCACCAGTCTGCAGAACAATGCTCTATCCACTGAGCCAAATCAGCTAGGGCCCTGTATTCTTTAAAAATGTCAAGGCCATGAAAGACAAAGACTGAAAAACTGTTCCAGATTTTTTAAAAATTAAAGAGATTTGACAACTAATTATAATGTGCGATCCTGCCTAAATTTGGGGTCAGAAAAACTATTTTCTTTTAATATAACGAATATTAGTCGGTCCCTTGGCAAAATTTAAATAAGATCATAAATTCAATCACAATACTATATCAATGTTAAGTTTTTGATTTTGATAATTGTACCCTGATATTTGTACCCTTCTTTTGAGGAAATAGACTGGAAATATTGAGGGATAAATGGATCAGAAAATACTTATAACAGTTCCTTTATATATCTGCTAGAGACCCGGTGCACAAAATCATTAACAGGGAAGGGACCCCTCAGCCTGGCCTGCACCCTCTCCAATCCGGGACCCCTCAGGGGATGTCCGACTGCTGGATTAGGCCCGATCCCACAAGCATCCCTCTCACAATCCAGGACCGCTGGCTCCTAACCACTCACCTGCCTGCCTGATTGCCCCTAATCACTCTGCCTGCCTGCCTGATGGCTCTAACCACTCTGCCTGCCTGCCTGATGGCCCTAACTGAACCCCTGCCTGCCTGATTGCCCCTAACTGCCCCCCGCTAGTGGCCTGGCTGCCCCTAACTGCTCCCCACTGCTGGCCTGATCACCCCTAACCACCTCTGCCTCGCAACCCCCCCCCCCCCCCATGGCTTTGTCTGGAAGGAAGGAAGGACGACCGGAAGATGTCCAGTCGACCTAGTCTAATGAACATATTACCCTTTTATTAGCATATATGTATATTGTCCAGGACAGAGGCACAAGAACTGTGACTCCTGTGCTATTTACTAAGCCAGGAAATGGATATATTTTTGGCCTGAATTCCCTCCTTCCCAGTTTTATTCAGGTATAATTGGCAGAAGGCCTGAATTTTAAAGAACAAATTTTAAAGAGCAAAGAAAATTTTGTTTAGGGTGCTACAGCTGAAACTCACTTGAAGAAACCATTCTTAGAGCACTAGCTTTCTATAGGATGGATGTAGGTGGCATTAAAATGAGAGGGGGTCTTCCAGGTGGGAATAGAGATATTTTAGAGTCACTATTTTAGAGTAGTGGAAATCAATGTGAAACTGAGAGTAGGATAACCAATTCAATGGACAGAAGGTCAATGTAGATTAAAATGAAAAAGATTTACAGTAGAGGAGAAAAACAGATGAGACATTTAAGAGCAGAGAGCAAAATGGGTACAAAGAGCCCAAACAATGGAATAATCAGGGAGGTGGTAATGATGATAAAGGCAGCCTCTTTCAGCAACATAATTTGAATAGAAGAGAAATGTGAAACAAGAGGATACTGGTCCTGGGAACAAATTAATCATCTTTTTTTAAAAAAAATTTTTTTAATTGATTTCAGAGAGAAAGGAGAGGGAGAGAAACATCAATTGGCTGTCTCCTGCACGCCCCCTACTGGGGAACAAGCCCTCAACCCAGGCATATGCCCTGACTGGGAATCCAACCATGACCTCCTGTTTCATAGGTTGGCGATCAACCACTGAGCCACACAGGCGGGGCCAAATGAATCATCTTCATGTAATTGCTACACCCTGGATAGCATGATTAGTCCTAAACAAACGCAGAATTTTTGGTGGTCGTGAACTAGGCTTGGAAAGCACAGTGATAATGTGAGCTTGTCAAACTGATCTAAGTTCATTTCTCTAGATTGAAGATTTTTAGCAAGAAGTAACTTACTCTTACAGCATTTTCTAAATATTGCAGAAAGGACTGTTAGGGTATCATATGGGAGACCAAAGGAATCTCAGGGTTTACTTTCAGCTTTTCCTTGGATTGGATGCATTTCACATGTGAAATGGTGGCAGTATAGTACTTAATTCATAGAGTTGTTGTGAGGATGAGTCATAGTTTCCCTCCGAGCACCAGTTTCTCTGGGTATAAAAAGGGGGTAGTGATTTTTTGGTAATGTGACTCAGAAGTAGGTGGTGCAGGCACACTCAGGATTGCACAGGAACAGCTTTCATTGATTGGAAGAGAGCTTCTAGGTTACATTATCTCTAAGGTGGCTGCTCAATTATTATTTGAAAGTTCCTGGAGACCATATATAATTATCTCATTAAGATTTTTTATTATTAGGACATAACCTCAGGTAAGGTGAGACTGCCTTATAATTTTTTTTAAAGAAAAATATACTGGGTCTATGCTGACATCTGCTATGCAGCGGAATGCCACAGGATCTAGTGTATTAAGTTCTATTATTCCTCAATGGAGGGATGTTATATTAGGGAAATTTTACCCAGACCAATGATGATGAAAAACAATGCACCCATCTTCTGATGGGAATACATTTACAGAGAGAGAGAGAGAGAGAGAGAGGTAGAGAGAGAAGAGAGAGAGAGAGAGGGAGAGAGAGAGAGAGAGAGAGAGAGAGAGAGAGAGAGAGAGAGAGAGGTAGAGAGAGAGAGAGAGAGAGAGAGAGAGAGAGAGAGAGAGAGAGAGAATGAAAGCAGGTGGGAACAAGGGTGTTTTGGAACCAACAAGAATTGAAACCAACATTTGAATACCTTCTATCGGCCAGTTCCTTTACATAAATTATCTCCAGTCTTCACAATAACTGGCAAGGTCAGCATGAGAACCCGGAGGGTGGAAATAATTAACTTGCCTAGGGTCATAAAGTAAAATACAACAGAGGCTGGAATTGGTAGTATTAGGATTTGCCACCAAAGTCCCTGCTCATTTTACCGTACTACTCCCCGGCAAAATAACGTACTAGGATTTGGAAAAACTGGGGACAAGAGGACTTGGAGAATTTCTCTTTCCCTACTTCTCCTCTAACAGTCCTTTTGTTTCTTTTGTTTTTGGTTCTGATATTTGAGTGGGATCGAGCATGGGGAATCTAAACAGAATGATCCCACAGCCCCTCTAGATAACAATTGCCTCCCTTCAGGGCCTGACCTGAGATTTGGCAGGGGTGGCGGGTGGAAGAGGAGAGGTGGAGATAGGGGAGGGGGATTAGTTAGAAAAAGATGCATAGTTCTTTTCTTTAAATTGTTCATGAATTTCAGGACAACCGGTTGGCTATTTTCTTCTCTTGCTCAAAATATTATTAGTTTTAATTATGGGGGCGGTTTTAGTGGTTAAGGTTTGGTATCGGCTGGAAATTTCTGTAAATAATCCCAGTAGATCAAAAAAAAAGTTAAGGTCAAAGACAACTCCTTCACCTGTTTTGGGAGAGGATCGGGTGTGTGTGTGTAAAAAGGCTGGTGCCTGTCACTCTTTTACACCCAGACACACTGAAGGGCCCCCCGGGAACCCCGAGAGGAAAAGCGAGGGGATGCCCTCACTCCTACTCTCAGGTGAGGGTCCGAGTGGTGGCCAGGGACGTTCTTGCTCCTCCCTGGGGTGAAGGAAAAGGGGCAAAGGTGCTCGGGGCTGAGGACGAGGACCAGGGTGGGTGGGGGGCACCCGTGCCGGGGGGACCCAGGGGCTTCCGCCTCCCGGAGGCGTCCCCGGGGAGGGCGGGCGGGAGGCCGTGGCCGAGCTGGGAGCGCCGCGCCCCGCCCGCCGCGCTCCCTGCGTCCCGGCCGCCCGTGCCTGAGCGGCGCCGCAGTCCTCGCGCCGTAGCCCGGCGTGGGCGGCAGGGGGCGCTGTGGCCCAGCGGCGCCGGCGGCAGGAGCAGCCAAGGCGACGCTGGAGGCTCCGCCGAGGCTCCCCGCCTGCGGCACCGCGGTCGTCCCGCCGCAGCCTGGCGCCCCCGACCCCGCTGCGCTGAGCTCCTCCGCTCTCCGCGCGGCGGCGGCGGCCCGGGAGCCCGATGCGGCTCGGCGGGTGCTGGGCCTCAGCAGCAGCAGCGGCGGCGGCCACAGCCCCTTCGGCCACAGCGGGAAGCTTCGCGGCGGCGCCGGGGCAGCGCCGGTGCTCTCCGGAGGAGGCTGCGGGCTCGGGGACGACCCCCCCGGGCCATGCTGAGGCGACGGCGGCCGCGGCTCGAGGTGAGTGTGCGCGGCGCGTCCCGGGCTCGCCCGCCTCGGCCTCCGCGATGGCCGGGGCGGCAGCCCTCCAGCCGGGCGGCGGGGAGACCGGCCCCTGCGGCCACCCACTCCCCCCACACCCACCCAAACCCCCGGCTGGGGCCTCCGCCTTTCCCCCGGTGTCCCCGAGCGGGCTGGAGGCGCGTGAGGGGCGACTAGGCCCCGCGCCGCCGAGCAGCCCTGGCCCGGCCTCGGTTCCGGCGCCGCCCGGTGCGGAGCCGGGGCCGGCGGGGCGCTGGCGCCCCTCGGATTGGCCTCGGGCGGAGCGCAGCCTCTCCTCCCGGCCCTGCCCGTCCATCCCCGAGGCTGTGGGAGGACGCCTGTTTGCCCACAGCCTCGGCTTTTCCGCGACACCCCCCCTCCCAGCCCCGCAGAGTCGGGGTGAAGGGCGGGAGGCCGGGGGGGGGGGGGGGGCGGGCGGGGTGATGGGAGTGCTGGGCCCCGTCAGCACCGGTGCCCCTGGTGCCCCTGGAGTGTCATTTACGATCTGATGGGTTGAAAAGAACCCTTTGCGTCTTATTTGAGGTGAAATTTCATCACCTGCCGCAGCTCATCCCTGCCTTCTTCTGTTACATGTTGTCTCGCAGCGTGGTCTGCCTCGGAGGAAGCTCCATCCCGGCTTTGCGATGTTTCTTAGAGAAATGCTCACGATTATTTAAAAAATAAAAATACACATACATGTATTTTACCAAAGTCGTTTCCCTCTTCTCCCCCTGTAAGTGTGTTTTAACGCTTCGGCCCTTGGTGCAGAAGTGTTCCACCTACTAGATCCGCAGAATGGATGACGGAGGGTTTTTAGAAGTCGTGCCGTCCTGATCACAGGTACCCGGTGGACATGGGGCATATTCTAAATGTCAGAAGTTGGATGACTTGTCCTGGCATTCGTGTCATAGAAAAGTTAGTGACTAGTGGTTACACTGTACTGCCCTTTGCCAGATGTATCCGTGTCTCTGGTTTCTGATAAATGCGGTTAAAAGTTGTTCTTTTTTTCTTATTATGGATGTGAAGGTTGTAGGATGGATAAGGACTTCTAAAACTTGTATAAACATGAAAAAGCAAATATGCTTATTGTTGAAAACTTGGAAAGTACAGAAAGGCACTGTATGGGTTCCCCATCAATATTTAATAATGGGGGAAAGGTGACCTATAATCTCAGGGTACATGTTTATGGTCATTTAAAGTGTAAATGTTGGGCTTATACTGTTGGTAATTTTTAAATTATTCTGCATATTACGTTCAAAGATAAAAGACTGTTCCGTTTTACTGGTTAACATACAGGCATTTGAATAAGACCTATAAAAATGTTTTACTAAATTCTGTTGTAATCATAGTTGAGTTCATCAATAAAAACAGAATAACATGGGTAACTACCTAAAAGACCCCTGACTTTTTACCACCTGTGCAGCAAGAGAAGCTCCTGAAGTCTAGGGAGGTTTGGTGTAGGAAATGTTTTTGAGGACCTATCCTGTTACATGCAGTACCCTTATATTGTTTTTGTAAGATTTTGCTCAAATATTTATAATGGTAAAAAATTGGCTTGATTAAAAATGTTTTTCTGTAGGTTACATTAGGTTTTAAAAAGTCCAATCCAGTTTTTCTCAGTATGTCCCTAAAGACTACCAGCTTTAGAATCAGCTGAGGGTCCTTATTAAAAGATGCAGATTCTGGCCCCTTGAATCAGAATTTCTAGGGCCCTGGCCTGGTAGCTCAGTTTGTTAAAGCATTGTCCCGATATGCCAAGGTTGTGGGTTCAACTCCCCTCCCTCCCCCCCATACAAGAATCAACCAGTGAATGTATAAGTGGAATAACAGATCAGTGTCGGTCTCTGTCTCTCTCTCTTCCTCCCTCTAAAATCAATATAATAATTAAAAAAGAATTTCTGAGAATGATGATGGCCCAAGAATCTTAATTCTTATCAAGCTCCCCCATGCTTAGTTCTATCACAGTTTGAGAAATCACTGATATAATAAGTTTAAAGTTAACTAACCTTGGCAAGTTGAATGAAAAGTATGGTGTCTGTTTTCTAGTTAAACTACCAATCAGTCTTAAGTGGCAATATAGTCATTTCTCTTAGCAACATATAGTCGTGTTTTAATCTTAGAGAAAAGATATTTCAAGGGACAGCTGATTCAGTTAACAAACATTTGAGAGCCTTTTGTGGTAGCTGTGTTGTTATAAAAGAATACCTGGCCATTTACTTTGGTTCTCATCTCCTTGGACCTCAGTGTTATTGTCTGTAAAATGCAGATAGTTATACTTATCTTGCAAGATTTTTAGGGTAAGTATATCTGAAAAAATTTGTAACCTGTAAAAGATAGTTATAAAACTTTAGCTTATAAAAAAATGTATAATTTTATTGATTTCAGAGATGAAGGGAGAGGGAGAGAGAGAGAGAGAAGCATCAACGATGAAAAAAAATCATGGATCGAGCCTGCAACCCAGGCATGTGCCCTGATTGGGAATCAATCCGTGACCTCGTAGCTCATAGGTCCACGCTCAACCACTGAACCACACTGGCTGGGCAAATTTTAGCTATTAATTTTAAGTGCCAGGTGCATTCTTTGGTGTTCTGAGAAATACAATAATGACCAAGGTCTTTGCTAGCAACTAGCTAATTGTAGAAGTAGGACATATTTAGTTAACTGTTATAAGGTAGGGTCAGACAGGTGTTGTAATTGAGTGGAATATGCTAGATCTCTTGTTAAGACTTCTATGTTTAATGTAGTAGCTTGCCTGTAAGAATATTAGTAATTTTTATATATGATCTTTCTTCTTCCAATTCCTGATTCAGTGTTTTATTCTTTAAGGAGGTAATTACATATATTGCCTGGTAAGTGATAGTTTTATTAATTTTATTTTTAAAATTGATTTTAGAGAGGAAGGGAGAGGGAGAGAGAGATAGAAACATCTATGATGAGAGAGAATCATTGATCTGCTGCCTCCTGCATGTCCCCAACTGGGGATTGAGCCCACAACCCTGGCATGTGCCCTTAACCAGAATCAAACCTGGGACCCTTTAGTCTGCAGGCTGATGCTCTATCCATTGAGCCAGGGCTAAGTGATAGTTTTATATAAACTCCTTAGCAAGACAGAAATGAGTGGAGATGATCCCATTTCTTTCTCTGTTGCTAAGTTACCACTATACATTTCATTCAGTAAACTTTTATTTGGTACCTGTTATGTGCTTGACAGAGATTAGTTGCAAAGGCACAATTTAAGCCTCAATTTTCTCTTCTACAAAATGAAGCTGATAATACCCACCTTATGGATTATTGTAAGGATTAAATGACATGATGTGTAAATCAGAGCTATGATTTAGTCCCAGCAGTCCCAGTAAGTCATTATTACTCTGGAAGTAGAAAATATGCTTCTAGTTTACTTCTCTTTGAAAGAGCTTGAAAGATCATTATTTATTTATACAGTTTACTACTAAGAAATAAAATCATGACCATTTTAAAGTATTAGAGATTGCTAAATTAAGGAGGAATCAAGGTGTCAGTAGTTAGTATTTTAGTTGTGTAGTTAATAGAAAATCTTATACTTTATGATACTAAATACATTTAATAAAATAATTAAAAATGCTATTTATAAAATAATTACAATTATGCAAATTAAGTAGTACTTACAATTTTTTTCTTTTGAATTACTGTAAATAGCCCATTTATAGAACTGAACTATTGGAAAAATTAGAACAATAATGTTTTGTACTTATGAAATACTTTTTGAGAGCCTTTAATAAAATAGGTAAAGATGAGGAAATCTCTATGGACATGTTGAAATCAAGAAAAGGCATCAAATTCATATTGGGTAAGGGAAAAGGAGAACTTAATGAATGTTAATGGTGATCTTGAGGCATTTAGGATTTTATATTACAGAAGTATTTTTAAAGTCGTCTTAAATTTTTTTCTGTTAATTGTCTTTTAGTTTAACATCCATACATTTGTTAATTTAAGCTTAAAACATACTTTTCTGGACCTAGGCTTTTGGCTATCATAGTTTCTTTAGCTGGAAATTCTATAGTGATTTGTTATCTATTCTCTTTTCTTATTATTTATGATGACATACCCTTAAGGATATGCTTTTTAAATATCTATGATGGTAGTTTTGTTGCATTTTAAGAAAATATAGAAGTAGTAAATCCATTCCCTAGATTTAAATATATTAATTAATTTTAAATGGAAATTTATTACCTTTCAGAGGAAGGAGCCTTAGAAAGTAAGATAAAAGAAAATGGTAAGGTGAGTCTAGAATTTTTCATAAATTAGGGAAAGTTTGGGTATATTCAGCCTTGGGTTTTTCTGGCAGTTTGAAATAATATTAACTGTAAAGAGGCTGTAAAATGTGAAGAATTACATATATTTCAAATAATTTAGAGTATTAGGAAAGGCTCAATTTTTTGTTTTGTTTAAAGTATTACATAAGGCTCTATTTTTGGTAATATCTTTATTGAGATATAATTCACATACTATACAGTGTACTCATTTAAAGTATACACTTCAGTGGCTGGTTAGTCACAGAATTGTGCAAACATCATCACTATCTAATTTTAGACATTTTCATCTCTCTAAAAAGAAACCCATTCCCATTAGCAGTCACTTCCCAGATCATCCCCTCAGTCTTCCCTGCCCTTAAGCAACCACCAATGTACTTTCTGCCTCTGTGGATTCGCATATCTATTCTATAAGTGGAATCACACAATATGTTACTAGCTTCTTTTACTTTAGCATAATGTTTTCAGTGTTCATCCATGTTACAGTATGCATCAGTACTTAATTTCTTTTTATTGTCAAATAATATCCCATTGTATGGATGTAACACATTTTATTTATCCATTCATCACCATAACCATCATTCATAGCCAGAACTTAGTGAAACTGGTCAACCATATTGGGCGATCATGGGAATAGTGGTGTGGGGGCTTTAACTATAAAAGGTTGTATTCTAAGAATATTGTTTAAGG